GCACTGAAAGCTGGAACCTCTTGCCTCCCATCGCCTCCCCGGCTCGCTCCCTGTTCACATCCAGCCTCACTTCCTCCCATCATAAATCTGGATAAATCCACAAACCACTGTCTGGCATGCTCCATCTGTCTCCCTCACTCATGTACTGCTAGAGAAAACCTCTCTGCATCCCTGCCTGCCAGCAGGCTGTCCTCCAGGCTCACTTAAAAAAGAATGAAACAGAGGAAAAAAAAGTACCTTGAATGTACACTTGGAAGACAGGATGACGACCCACCTCTACATTGTATCACTACTCATCTCAGCAAAAATAAACTTTCAAATAGGATTACAAAAACCCTAATTTATATTTACTCACCCATGGTGCAATGTAATAGAAATGGGAAGACATTCAGACTGAATCAATTCAAAAATAATATTTTTGGTGTAAAGATTTTATAGCTCAAATAAACTTATGGGTCATTTATTTCAGATCACTTTGCTTTTGCCCAGATTTTTCTCAGAATGTGTCCTGCTTCAACCATCATGTGAAACAAGCTGAAAAAAAAAAAAAAAGCTGTAAGTAATTTTGATAAAAGTAACAATTAAAATACTGATAATTTTGTAGTTTTTCCAGATTGCTGTGTTATAAAATGTGCTTTAATATGACATTAAGTGCATTTAAAAATAGGACACGCAAATTTTTTTGGCTGTAGGCATAATGTCAGTTTCAATATTTTTGAATGAGATTGTGGCAATAAAATCAAGCCTTAAATTTAATGGACAGTGTCGGAGGCGAGCAGCAGGCAGCTGCAGGCAGGTGGAGTCACACTACAACAGGCCTTTGATATTCACCAACAGGGAACACAGAAGGGGGGCACCCTGAATCCATTGGTGGCATACTAAAAAACACATGCAAGCATGCATACACACACACATACACACAAAACCTGCTCCAACAGACAACAGCCCAGCAGTACAGACTGGGCTCATTACATCCCACCCACCCCTTCCCACTACTACCACCAGGGTCCTGACCACACAGTGGGTCGACGCCCAGCCACGGGGGGGCATGTGTTAGCATTCAGCAGAGTGAGAAACAACAACACCAGTGGGCTCATATCATCATCCACCTCACAGCTCCCAGGGCCTGACATCTCCTCACGGTGCTATTGTTTCGCCTGAGCGCTGCTCTCTTGCCCTTTTCTCTCCACTACAGTGCTCAGGAAAGGGCTGCGCAGTCGGGGGGTGGGGGCTTGTTTAGACAGCAGGGGACCCCACCCGCACTCAGGCAGTCAGTGGCAAACATCAAATATGATTGGTCATGGGAGGCAAAGGGGAGTTTGACAGGAAAATAATCTGACCATTCCAGGTGCCCAGAGTATTTTATCATCTGTTTATAACACTGGATATATTAAAGTATCAAAAAAGATTGTGTTTACCTGTTGACGACAGTGACCGTCCAGGAGGATAGACATGCAAAAAAGGAGGGAAACCATTAGTTTGTTGTTTGATTAACTGCATATATCCTTGATGAGACAACATGCATAGAATGATACACAATGAAGTATACGCTTAAACTGAACATTTCCAAAGGCATTAAAAAATTAAACATTTTAACCTAAGCAGGTCTATGAAAGTTTTGTTCTATTCCTTTTTTGCAAAATTGGATCTGGAGAGAACAAGAGGTCATGGGTTTCTGGGCTTCCGCTAAGGCTGTATTTATTCTACATTTGCTGATTAGATGCCTTCACATGTTTATGTAAAATATCTCATAATAAAGAATCTTCTGTGATGACCTTGGTTTTACCTGCCCAAGGACACTATCAAGGCCACACTGAGGCAGGCTGGATCAAGCCACCCAATTTACTGTATGAGAATGCTGACACATATTGATATATGCATGCACTTCCCACAGCTACACTCTTAGTCACATACAGTATAAATCAGAAGGCCACTACTGCACTTTACTCAGGCAAGGGTGTGAGAAATCACTGCAAAATCAAATTGAAATTCTATAAAATAAAAACAACTTTGCCTACATTTCCAGAACTTTCATTTACTGTAATGAAGGACTATTATGGATATAAAATTATATAAATATGCAGCAATGATAGAATATGCTTCACTTAGTGTCCTCATAGAGACAGGACAGACCTGAGTCCTGTGGGTTGGTGGTCTCTGACTAATACCGCTCATTTAGGTCTAGTCTGATTATAATAATCACCAGGGAAGCCACTGATGAGCTAGCTGTCCCAAATGTCTTTGGGGAAAAAAAGTTCTTATATACGTTATAGCACCTTCTGGTTTATTCATATCATGCTCTCACCAGTCCACCGCTTATCCCTTCATGAGACCCTCCATAGTTGCTTGCAATCTACGGCTACATTCACAATACAGCAGCCACGGTTTTTACATTCTGTGTGAAATGGGCCTGCAGACGCAACACCACCTGTCATCAACACAAACAGCCTGCTATCAACAAAAACAAACTAAAAACTGTGTCACACCATTAATGTAGGCTACTGATGCAAAACCACTTGTCTCACCATGATCATGTTTGCGCTCCGCTGTAATATTGCTTTCTTTGGTTCCTCCTTTTCTTATTTGTATGAGATGGAAACAATTTATTTCTTCTTTACAAATAATACAAAGAGTGATGATGAAACTTGCAAGGGCATTTGGTGTGCTGTCTCTTAGAAGACAGGAGACCCATTGAATTTCATGAATAAATGAATGAATTAAAATTCATCTAATCATACTTCAGGAATCCCCCCCCCCCCACACACACACACACCCCTGCTGCAAGAATGCCAAGGAACCTCCGTCAGTAGTTCCACTTGCAAACAAACACATAAAATCTCGGAGTACACAAAGAGGGGGGTTCACTATGGCAACGGCACGTAACACCTTTTGCAATATGTCTCTTTGTGCATGCTTCTTCATTAGGATTCATGGATCATCAATGAAAACAATTCTTTGTCTCTCATTTGGCACCGTGTGAATGATTGTTTGCACACCAATACAAGGGATATGATAATATAGACCCTCCATTTTTAGACTTAATAGGTTTTTGTTTTTCATCTTGTACCAAGGCTGTAATATATCTGCCCACTGAATGACTGCAAAGTACAGTCCAAACATAGTTTCATGTTCACTGTATTGTAGTCCTGAATTAAACATGCATTCATAGGCACTTAAAATATAAGACTTGACTGTAAGTCTTTAACATAGCATAAACACACACACATTACTTTGCTAGCACAGAGATCACAGCTGTAGTACAAATTAAGATTTTATAAGATTGTATTATTCTGATAATTGTATATATGCAACACTTGCATGCTGTACAGTATACTTTATGATGAGTAAGGCCCAAGCCAGGCAACTCATTACCACTATAACTCTAAATGTTGGAGCGGATTTATTCTGCATATATTTAAAAAATAACATTTAAGCGAGGAAGGCCAAGCTTTACATTTGTATACTTATTCCTTCTTGACAGCGCTACAGGAGCAAGCTGTTTCAAAATGAGTCTGGAGACCACAACATGCTCTAATTGATATGACCTTTAATTGCTCATTCAGTGCAGAGGAAAGAAGAGGAAGACATCAAGCCAGTCCACTGTGGCTCGGGCTAAAGAGGCGCTGTGTAGATTGGCCTACACTCCCAGGCCCCGTGGACATAATTAAACCTGAATAACAAACACTTACACAAGTGCTCTAGTCTCCTGCACAGGATTCTGAAAACATCCAGGACACCAGCTCGCTGCTCTTTTAGTTGGTCCCTCAATCAGAGTGGATTTGTTCCTGTGTTGAGAATATAATTGGAGCTTGGACAATTGACAATTATGGCCAACATAAATTAGGTCCTGTTATCCATGGTTGAAATTTGGTTAGTTGTAAATAAGCCCTGCTCTGCAGCTCATCGGAACTATTTAGGGTAACTTACTTTGCTCATTATTTAACACCACCGTGGAAAAACCCATGAAAAAGTTTGAAAAGCGAAGGAAATGAAAGATAACATATTTTCACTTAACATTTTTTTAAGATAAAATAAATTATGGCTATTTCCCATATTCGCTCATATTTTGTATGACTGTGTTGTAGCAACGGGTGATAGAAATATATTAAATGCACAAAAAACGTAATCTCTTACTAAATATTCCCTCATCCAGATGGAATGGAAGGAAAAGTCAAGGTATCATATGAACCCACTCTAGGTGTAGGCACATCCTCAATTCTCCACAGGCACAACAGATGTACAAACTCTAAATAGAACATCTGCATTGTGCTCTTTAACATTTACAGAAAGCCTATCTGCATTTTGCACAACAGTAGTCCACAGGGAGCAGGAAACTGTCCACACATGCTTTGTATAGAGAGTGTAAGCTGAACAACTGGACCTTTGCATGGAATTAGACATCATTAATTAATTTGCACTGAAGTCCACAAGCCTTTCCTTTGAGTGAATGCTCAGCTTTTGGATAGCCATGGGTTCAAGACGTCCACCGGGGCCCGTGGCAGCAGTGTGTTTGACTACTATGTATTCAGACCAGCAAACTGCTGGTCACCAGATGATCCCCCTGGTGGGGCTAACTGCTGGCCTTTTGCAGACCTCCATCATCTCCACCTGCAGTCTGCCTACACCCCAGAGAGCTCCCACTAGAATGCAGGTGCTGGACGTCTAGACGAGGGGCTCATTAGCTTTCCTGCAGCTCACTAGCTAGTGATTGCAGAGGCCTAAGCTGCCTTGCCTGGAGGGAGGGGACAGGTCCTCATTGAGAGCGTGCTTTATTACAGGGGCTTAGGTGGGGGCTTCAGGATTAACACATAAGTCTTCCACCTTCATGGGTGCGAAGAGGACTTGTAGCGCTCTGTGCAACTGCAGGGGGAGTGCAGCCCAGGGAGAGAAACAGCTTTTCTCACTTTGCATTGATAGACTGACCAGAGGCTTAACACACACGTCCTGGAGGTCCGGATGGATTTGTGTTACTTACAGCAGTCAACCTAAATCTCTAAAGGGCACCAAGAAGTTTTTTAAATGTTAATTCAAGTTAATTAGTTTTAATAACTTTGGCTTCGTTGTGTGAGCCTGGGTGTTTATGTGTGTGCAACATTTCCAGACATCAGTATGTGAAAGACCTCACAGTGGCCTGTAATTGTTTCAGCTCTGTTTTTCACCGCAGGGGAGAGCCAGTCAAAAGAGTGGCAGCCTGTGCCCTTTCCTCTCACGGGTCCCTTTCAAGTGGGCAGACCTTAAGCCAAGCTGCCCTTCAAACTGATGCCTGCTACAGGTGAGCAACATTGATCCAGCTGTATGTTATGCCGTATAAAACAATTTTAAATATGAAAATATATATGTTGTGTGTGTAAGTAATACATAACACGTTACTGAATCCAGTAATCTGGATGCATAATTGACCTAGTGCTTAAGTTTAAATGTGCAGCACACTAGTCATCATTTTTTGGTGTAGTTTTGAGTAAAAGTTTTGGAGTATTTCAAAAATTCTAGGTTCAGACATTTCAAAATAGAGTCTTTGTTTAGTGAAAAAAAATTATTTGAATTGCAAAATCTGAGTCATTTGCATGCCTCCAAATTCAGTACATATAGATGTATTTCTAATCTAACTTTCAGATTGCTTTCAAGCCTAATGTTTATAGTCAACAGAAGCTTGCACCTCTCTATATATTACCCCAACCACTTTCCTCAGATGATTAAGCGATAAGAAAGAAAGTCAAAACAATAGTGGAACAAACAACTTTTCTCTGCTGAGCCTTTTGCATAATTATGATGCCCGAGGGCCAACTGATTCACTGAAATCTGTTCTCTGTAGGGGGAGGGAAATCTAAAATAGCAGCCTCTGATTGTCACACAATTGGCTTAGACTGCACTGTGCAGCTGTGCTCTGAGCCTGTCTGTCTGTCATTTAACTGATTGCTGCACGGCTGCCAACCTATCAGGTGCATCATCAATGGAATGTGGGCTGCTAAGCACACGACAAAATTTATCCCCAACTCCTTCCAGTAACATAGGGTCAAAAACTGTGTATATATAGAGCACAGTGTGCTGCTGCATTAAACAGTTCTCCAAAATGTATTCCATTTTTGATTACCATAACGCCACAGTGGCATAGTTCAAAGCTTGGATTGTACAGCTGCAGATATGAACAGAGACAACCCCCACCCCACCCTTCCATATTAGAAGAGAGGAATACAAGGAGAAGGAGAGACAGGAGAACAGACAGTGAATTCCAGGGCAGTCCTAGTTAATTACTAGGGTACAAGTGTGATAAAACACCCATCCACCTCCGAGGGCTATTACTTCCTGCCAATACCTTCATCGTTGTTTTCAAAGCTCATAAGAATATGCCAAAGTATAACTACTGGATGCAACAACCTGATTTAAAGTGCTTACAATTTATATAGAAAGGTTATTGAAGGTCATTTCCTAATACGGTCCCAGAGCAGTCCATAGAAGTTGTGAGGGTTGAGCACCCACCTCTGTTTCCATTCATAAGCTTTGTCATCAGTATGGGAACTCGGCATGCATAATGAATGAAACTAAATTAATTCATACCAAAAAAATCCATTATTTTATCACCTTTTGTGTGAATTGTTGTCATTTTTCAGCAGTCAAAAGCTGCATTGATTATTGCCTTGAAAATAATTACTCCATCGCAATTTCAGGTAATGACTATTACAAAATATGTATGTATGTAGAACAAGAACACAAACAATAGCACTAAATAGCTAAACATCTTCAGTTAGGTCTGAAACATGTTCACATTGTGTCAACTCCTTGTCATTTTTTTTAACAGTGCCAGTGTGTGACTGCGTGGCAGTATCTCCAAATATTAATTAGCCTTGTCTGTGTATCTGATTACTGACATGCCTGAAGTGAGGGTGATAAAAATGCCGTGTGGTTTATCTGCTACCTTCTCCATTGAAAGAAGGTACAGATAAAACTGGTATCATGAGGTTCATGCATGGTGAATCATGTCCACAGTATTTTCTCTCTCTTCCGAAGTCAATAGGCCTGTAACGTGAGCACAGCACCGGGCTGTCCCTAGGCAGGCTGACTGAGCCCGCTAATGAAAACAGAGGAAGGGAAGGGAGGGAAAAAGAAACAGAGAGTTCTGTGTGTCTGAACAAACACAGGAGGAATACCTTCAAGGTCACCATTAGAGAAAAAAAGAGGAAATGAGAGTGAGGGAGATAGAAAGATTGAGAGACAGAGGGGGAGATGCTGAAGAGACTGGTAAAGTGCTGATGAGACCAGGAATTTGGGCTCAAGCTGAAAATAAAACTTTTCTTCTGTACTCTTTGTTTTGGGCCAGTGCTGCACACTAAATCACTGTGGCCAACAATATGGAATTACAATATAATAGTTCCTAAATAATTCTTTATTTTCACAGTTCACTTATCTTTTTAAGTGCAGAGGATTACATGGGCTTTACAACAATAAAACAATAGAGCGAGAGAGTAAAAAACAGGCAGGCACTGTATCCTACTGGGCAAACACACAAATGGGCTTTGTTTCATTTTTATGACCATTTTAACATTACTTTATCAATAACAAATCAGACATTTTTGATAGCTCAGCGCTCAAAGTAATAGGCAACAGAGCGATCCATGGAGCATGCTGAAAGTGTTGAAGTAAAATGGGCTGTGGCTGCACAGCCGTGTAACAGGAAACGAAATGGGAAGAGGCCTGTCATAAGGACGTCAGAAGCTGGACTGTTCCAGAAATGCCCAAGTGTGGACATACACTCAGGCGTGACGTTACAGCAAACCTATTATCTACTATTCTGTCACTTTGGCTTTTCCACTACAAACTTGGGACCAGATTCAATTTCAGCACCAGAGATGTCTGCTTCTCTGACCATCACACAAGCACTAACTCTCTCACCCTTGCTGAGTGGGTGTGTCCCCTCAGGGAGAAGATGGTGCTTTTTACAGCCTTTCTCCCATCCTTAAAAAAAAAAAAACACTTAGCACCAAATCCAGAGCTGTTTTTTTTTTCTTTTCCACTATTAAAGGCGTCAGTGCTGCCACTAATCAAAAACTGGTCTGCAAACAGAAATACAATGTTTCGCAGAGTATGCAACTGTCAAAAAAGATAGCTGTCCAATTGGAAACTTTTCATAGGGAGGGATACAGTCATTCAGCTCTCAGGGATTTATGGTGAGAAGTGTGTGATATGGGTCTGAGATGTTTGTGGTGCAGTGGTAGTGCATTCAAGATAACAATTCAGTCTTAGTGAGCTTATCATTAAAATTCTATCAGAGATATGGAACAGGGAAAAGGCAGAAGAGATGCCTAAGATCTAAGGACAGGGGGCCTTACATCACAGACAGAGTGATGCTAGCTCAAGCCCCTGCTTTTGATCTCTTCGTTTACCTGGATGAGATCTGCTTGAAAAACACACCAAAAAACTGACCTGTCAGCTATAGAAAGCAAACTTTCATGTGATGGCTGGCTGTCTGACTGTCTGTGTCCACCCATGCTCAAGTACTGCACCCCCCATCCAAATCTAAAAAGGCTACTATATACCACTCAGTGAATCAAAGAAAGGTTGTTATGATAAGAATCGTGTTGTTTCTTAGATAGTGATGCACCAATAAAACATCTATGCTCACGAACGCAGCACAGTCGCATTGAGAATACGCACACAAACAGCAATTATAAACACTACTCCTTTCGACTCTTCCATGCGTATTGTGTCATTGGATGCACGGGTCAGTCAGAGCTGGAATGGCAATCTCAACTAAATCCATGACAGCTGAAAGACACAATCCTTTCCATCTCCGTCTCAGTGGTCTTTTGTTCCGAGATTCTGTTGTTTTTCACCTCTTTTGTTTCGATAGCTCAACATTTCACTCGATCAGGCTTTTGTCAAGAGGGACCAGTGTGTTCAGTATTAAACTCACAGAGGAGAATTAAGGAAAGGATGTTACACAGATCAAACCAGAGGACTCCTGGGCCTCTTACTCTTTTCAATCAATAGGAAGGATAACACCAGCCAGCATCAAGAGGCAAATGAGGACATACAAATAAACATAGTCATTACAACCGTGACAGAACTTTCACACACTACACATATACTGCTAAACAGCTAAGGCTGACTGAGAAACTATATGGTTGGCTAGTTGGGAATATATCACATAATTAGGCTAGGCTGTGTACTGTATGTATGCATGAACAGATCAATGCTCACTATGCTTGCATGCCTAATACACAGCCAGGCCTTATTTAAAATGGACGCAACAGTTTGTACTCTTGCATCTGTATCGATGCATGGGTGCCTTTAGTTTCAAAGGTAGCCACTTTAGGTAATGCAAGTGTCCCTCCAGACTATGCGTAGTCACACCCTGACTCAATAAAGGTCTGTTTCTGGGTTTCTCAGCTGGTGTGGCCAATTAGTGTGAAATTTGGTGACAGAACTGTGGAGGAGCTAGCATAGTCCTTGTGTAATTATTGATCTAAGTTTACTTGCCTGCTTGGCTACATGTGGGGAGGAGAAGACACAGTACAGGGTTGTTCTCATACAGCGTCTAATTAATAGTGACATAATCTGATACTATAGCTTAAAGTTGTTGAGGATTTCTGATCCCCCCACTGGTGTGTGGACTTAAGAGTGCTGCTCGTTGCACCGTAATTGCAAAGCTTTGGCTTGGTGTCACAATTAGAGTGGAAACCAGCCTTATTATATCCACTGTTATAATCTCTGCCAGACCCTATTTACCCCTTCTCTAGTTTGGTTTCTTTTCTTTTGACACTGTTCCAATCTGTATAGAATACAGACACTAATCCCTGTGACTGCAGGTTTTTAATAGGGGCTCATGCAGGGCCATGCATTGGCATACAGTCTGGATTGTTGCAGGACAGGTGCAATAATTATAGTGACAAGACAATAAATATGGAGAGGGTTATCTAGTAAAAGAAGATTTGCGGTTAAACATCAATGTCAGGCATCATATTGCAGGGAGCGTGGAGCAGTTTAATTGGACTAATAAACAGTGTTTAACTTTATTGAAATACACCATATTTGCAAATTGTCATACAGTGATTTTTACAGTATTTTCTAGAGAGAGCTGTTCCTTTTTTCCACAGACAGAGGCCCCTCTCTAGTTTATACATTCTGTTGGTCTGAATGACAACCCACTTCTTGATATGATTACTTTGCGGGCCAGAGGAGGACACAGGTGGAACTGTGGAGCAAAGTCATTTGTAGAGCAGCTTGAAGAAACCTCCTCTAGTGTCTTATTAGACCCTGTGGGTCAGACAAAGAAAC